AGTGAAATAATGGAGATGCTCATCAGGGCTCTTGATGGTGGCAGGGAGTGGGGTGGGCTGCTACATCCGAGCTAGGTGTAATATTTGACTCTTTTCAGAATTTGCCTGCAAGGGCACATATTGTCAAGCCCCATGCAGCTGGGCAAGATCAGACAAGAACTTCACAGATTTCAGTACGGCTTCTTTAATGCTAGAATTAGGGGTAAATAGAGAGTCTTGGAAACGTCAAGAGGAATCTCCCAGCCTTGTTTCTTGTGAGATAATTAAAGCAGAGGGTCTTTGAATAATTTGAAATGCTTCATCCCAGGTTTCTAGCCTTCCGACTGTTGATGTCTACTCTCTTTTCCCTTCCCAGCTTCCCCACAATCTTTCACATATGTCATCGACACTGGAGATGATACTACGGAGGCAGGTTTTTCAGGATGTTTGTCTGAATGAAAGTCTGCTTGGGTGTGTGTTGGAAGGGGGCCTATAGCCTTACTTTGGGCATGCTGGTGCCAATAGATGGCAAAGGTCCCAACTACTTTGCCCGAGGATGATGTGTAAGCCCTCACTCTAGCAGGCTTCCCACACCTCTATTAAATTCCAAGAAATAACGCCAGCAGGGAACTGCTCCCATAGGACTTTTCAAAAGTAAATCTACTGTTATTTCTAAGTGTAATGGTACGTGGGGATGACCTTGGGAGACAGGCGGAAGAGCCATAGCCAGGGGAACGGTCGGACAAAAGACAGCTGAGCTGGCAAAAGGAATGGGGGCCTCGCAGACATCTCAGAAGGGACCATCCCTAGTTTCTTGGGCTGTAATGATGATGGAGGAAAAATGTACTTTCAGACTTGTAAGATTGATATCAGCCTTGCAAGATCATCCAGACAGGAAGCACGACCGGACAGACTAATACCACTTTATTGTAGGGTAACATTAACAGAACCTTGCAAATCTGAAAATACATTTCTCCCCCATCACCATTACAGCCCAAAAAACTAGGGATGGTCCCTTCTGAGACATTTGCCATGCTCCCATTCCTTTTGCGAGCTCAGCAGCTTTTTGCCTGACCGTTCCCCTGGCTGTGGCTCTTCCGCCTGTCTCCCAAGGTCATCCCCACGTACCATTACACTAAGGCAGTGTTGTCCAAACTTGGGCCACTCACTTAAAAAGCTTAGCAACCCCACAACCACAAACCTCACCACCCACGCCCCCCCGGCGCGCTTCGGGCGGGTCGAGG